GGCGAGCCGAGGACGACGACCCTGCCACTTGCGACTGGTGTCCGCGAGCGCGAGCAGCCCGCGCCCTCTCTCAGCCCGGGCCCTGCGGCCTCCGCCCCGCCGATTCGTACCTAAAGAGGTCGTGGACGAGACGTGGTTAACCCCCGTGTTAGGGTCGCTAGTCCGCCGCCGGCGCCGCAAGCCCTGGTGCGGCTGCTGCCTCCGCGATCCCTCGTCCCCCTCCGCCATCTTGTACCGATTTAAAATTAACTCTCCACTGACGTCAAACGCCGCCGCCGCTTTATCAACCTCCCGGGAACCGGCGGGCCTGCCGGCGGGTCCTAGCGCCGCCCCACTCGGAGCCTCCTCTCGGTGCTCCCCGCCCCTGGCCCTGCCCCTCGGCGCCCGAGCTCGGCCCCCGCCCTGCCTTCAGCTGGGTTTTCCTGACCTTCCTTCTACTTGTGCGAGCACGGGAGGGGCGCCACGGTCATCGCCGCTTCCCACTCCACCCAATCAGCCCAGTATCACATTCTCCTAGAGTTGGGCTGATCTATGTAAACACAGAACGAATCTCCAAAAATCGAGTACCTCCTCAATTCCATAACCCCATTCTCTTTATATCCTTCTTTTACAGTAATTAACTCTTGTTTGGCACGTTAGCTTGCTTTCACTCCACTTTTTATCCAGATCTCCTCCAAGGTTCTCCCCTGGCCCCAAGCTACCTCATATTGTTATCGTTAGATGCCATCGAGTCAACTACGATTCAGAGACCCAATGAACAAATCTGAACCTTACGCTATTCTGCACTTTTTTCTTGTTCAAGGCTATTGTTACAGTCACTGTGTCAATCCATCTCATTGAAGGTCTCCATTTTTCTCTGACCTTCTACTTTTCCAGCAAAATGCCTTTTTCCAAGGACTACTGGTCACTCCTGACAACATGGCCAAAGTATATGAGACAAAGTTTCGCCAAGTTGTTGTACCATAGAGTTGGAACCTATCCATAGCTGACCCTCTGGCAGGTTTTTAGAGACAGTTAATCGCACAGGAGGAGATTGCCCCATCCTTCTCCAGCAAAGCAGCTGGTGGCCTCGGACCACAGGCCTTCGGCATTGCAGCACAGCTTCTTTTCCACTAGACCAACAGCGCTCCTGAGAAGTCCCTAAAGTTGCTTTCCCTCCTGAGATCATTATATATATATCGCTTGTGTTGGCTGCTCTATGCAAGTTATCATCTTGAGAATTAGAGAAGATGCAATGAGAGTATTTTTGTCCTGAAAGTGCGTTCTAGAATACACTTACAGAGAGAATTAATAGTAAATACTGAGGATGATAACGGCTCCTGTAGACACTCCATCGTTTTCTTGGAAAGGGAGCCCCCAAAGAATGAAGGTGATTCCCAAGGCTGTGCTGCCAGCCAACTGGCCAGCAAACGGATTTCTTTTTCCTGTAACAGACAGTTTATCTTCTGGGCCACTGATACAGTGCCCTGGACAGGCCTACACTTGATTATTCCAAGAACTATACAGAAAACAAATGCATAAGTGAGGCAATAAGTTTAATCCCATGGTCACTTCATGCCTCTATGTTTAAAAGCCCTTTCTCCATTCTCCCCATCAGCAATCCCTCCTTAATCAGTTAATTTCTTAAAAACTTAAGTACTTCACTAGACTTCTTCCCAACCCACTCCACTCCTGAAATGGCTAAGTCAATTTTTTCTTCCGAATCACACTTTAACTCACCTCGTCTCTATCCCCACAACCTCTTTCCTGATTTAGACTCCTTCCCTACTAGACTTGTAACAAGCTCTCTGCTGTCTGTCCACTCTTCTCCTATGGGTCCTGCACGCAGCATTGAACAACTGTACCCTTAGATGCCATTCTGATAATGGGGTTTCTCTGCTCAGAATTGCATCCAAACTTGAAAGAATAGTTGACAAGTCTTTTCATTATTTGGTCTGTATGTAACCAGCCTCACTTTCATCAATTCAACATTCACTGCTTCCTTCTTTTGTTTAACTGTGTCATGACATCCCTGTGGATGCCGAAGACACCAGTAATGAGTAAAAAGACAAATTATGTTCCTGGCTGAGTTTTTGGGGTGTTTTTTAAGGGTTTTGGTTTCGCAGTTTGTGTGGTGGTTTGTTTTGTTTTGGTTTGGTTTGGTTTGTTTTGGTTTTGATTTTAGATTTGTTTTGGATTTTTTGGGTTTTGTCACTTTGCACATTTCCACGCTTTCAACACTAGAGAAGAAGCAATTCTTTTTGACAAAGTTTGTCTCCAGAGCTGGGTTCACAACAGCACCTCAGTTAAATAAATACATGCGAATATGAATGAATGCATGAATGAATGAAAGCATGAATAAGTGAATTGTCCTTCATCTGATTAGAAACATCATCTGCTGTTTCTAAACTCCAGGTCTTTGTTTTTGTAACAGAATGTTTCAGAGCTCAAATCAAATAACAACAGATTGACAGCATTTTTCTTGAGTGCAAAATAGGTGATGCTTTTGGAATGTTTAATGATCCAGGAGCTGCTCCAGATACTTCGCATAGATTAAGTCATTTTATCCTCATAACTATCCTCGGAGTTACGTACTCTTGTTCATCGTACAGATGGAGAAGCTGAGGAGGGAAAAGGTCCAGTGAGTTACCTCGGTGGTGGCACAGGCTCTTGAGAGCAGCCTGGCTCTGAAGCCCTTGTGCACACTCATTGTGACTTTCCGGAGGGAAGAATCCACAACTTATCAATTTGGGGTTCTTCCCTTGAGCAATGGAAAATTGAAAGTGTATGCAATAATCAAAGAATCTTTTTAAAGAGAAAAGCAAACTGGGGGACAATGTGCATGTGCAACAATGAATTAATGGAAATGCAAGTTTTCTGTAAACTTTCATTAAAATATCAATAAAAAGTTTCTTAAAAAGAAAATTAAAAGTATATAAAAAGCTATTTCTGGCTAGTTTAAGATTTTTAAAAATCTTGTGTTATGAGTGTCATCAAGTCATAAACTACAACTAGTAGCACCTCTATGAACAATTGATGTGAACCCTGCCCTATCCCATACCATCCACATCATCTTTGATATACTCTAGTCCATTGCTACAGTCACTCTGTCAGTTCATCTTGTCGAGGGTCTTTCTTTTTTTGCTGATCATCTACATTTCCTTGAAAAACATGATGTCTTTTTTCAAGGATTACTCCCTCCAAACAACATGTCCAAAGTATTTGAGGCAAAGTTTCACCATCATTGCTTCTAAGGAGCACCCTAGCCTCACTTTCTCCAAGATAGACTTGTTTGTTCTTTTTGCAATTCACAAGATGTTCAGTGCTATTCTCCAATGCCACAACGCCAATGCTATTGATTCTTCTGCTGTCATTCTTATGCACTGTTCAACTTTCAGATGTATAGTAAGTAATTGAGAAGATCATGACTTGGATCAAGTGCACCTTGGTCTTTAAACTGGCATCATTTCTCTTTAGCACTTTGGAAAGGTTTTCCCAATGCAATTAGATTTTTTTTTCTTGACTGCTGGTACCTTGGGTGTTGATTTTGAATGTAAGGAAGATGACATCATTGACGACCTCAGTCTTTTCTCCATCTATCAAAATGTTGCCTATTGGCCCAGTAATGAGGATTTTTTGTTTTCTTGATGTTGAGATGTAATCTCTATTGAAGGCTGCAGTCCTTGATTTTCTCCAGCAAATACCTAAATCCTTCTCACTTTCAGCAAGCAAGATTATATCACCTGAGTAATGCAAATTGTCGATGATTCTTTCCCCAATCTTGATGTCACATTCTTTTTTTATGAAATCCATCCGACAGAATGATTTGCTCAACATACAGATTGAATTATTTGCTCAGCATACAGGAGACAGGATACAACCCTGATGCACACCTTTCTTGACTTTAAGCCATGCAATGTTCCCTTACTCTGTTAGGATAACAGCTTCTTTTTCTAAGTATGGTTTTCATTCTTCTCAATGGTAGCCATAGTTTGCTGTGATCCCCACAATAAAATGCTTTTGCATAGTCAATGAAACACAAATAGACATCCTTTCATCAACTGCATCTCATGTGGATCCACAATCAACACCCTTGGTACCAGCAGTTAGGAGATCCAGAGATGCATTGTACTGAGGAAGTCTATAATTATGGACCTCTCCAAATTATTGAGGAGTAATAATGTCAGTTGGAGGACTGATGCACATTTGATTCAGGCCATCGTCTATACATCTGAAAGCTGTGCAACGAGTAAGGATTACAGAAGAATTGATGTTTTGAGCTGTGGTGTTGAAGAGTACTGAATATCCCATGGACTGCCAAAAAACCCAAAAAAATGCATCTCAGAGAAAGTGCATCTACAGTGCTCCTTGGTGGCAAAGATGATAAAGCTTCATCTCACAAACTTTAGGCATATTGCTAAGAGAGGCTATTCCTTGGAGAGGGACATCATGCTTAGAGAGAAGGAGAGTATACAAAGAAGAAGAAGCCCCTCAACAAGGTGGAGTGACATCGTGACTGCTGCAGTGGGCTCTAGCGTGTTAGGAAGTGTGAGGATGGCACAGATAGGACAGGGTTCAGCTCTGTTGTTCAAAGGGTTGTTATGGGTCATACTCAACTCGATGGTACCTAACAACAACAGACATCCTTCTGGTATGCTCTGCTTTCATCCAAGATCCATCTGACATCAGCAATGATATCCTTGATGTCAGGTTTCTGCAAGAAATGATGACAAAGGTCTTTTTAGATAATTTTAAGCACGTGATATTAATGATATTGTCCAAAAATTTCCACATCCTGTTGGATCACCCTTTTTGGGGGGAGTTGGAATAAATAGGGATCTCTTCTAATCAGTGGGCCCAGTTGCTGTTCTTCCAAATCTCTTGGCACAGCCTGGTGAGCACATTCAGGGCTCCATCTGTCTATTGAAACCCATCAGTTGATACTCCATCAATTCCTGGGTCCTTCTTTTTTGCCAGCGTTCTTAGTGTAGTTTGAACTTCTTTCATTACCATTGGTTCTTAATTATATGCTACTTCTTGAAATGGTTCTATATCAGCCAATTTTTTGTTTTGTTTTATTTTTGTACAGTGACTGTATATTCTTGCCATTTTTTTTTTTAGATGATTCCTAGGTCATTCAAGATTTTGCCCATATCATCTTTCGGAATTACAACTTAAGACTTGAATTTATTTTTTAGTTCTTTCAGCTTGATAAATAGTGAAGGAGCATTGGCCACTTTGAATCAATC